TTCTTTCTCTTGCCTTATACCTCTGGCTAAAGTTAAGTACTATAATGAACAGAAGTGGTAAAAGTAGAGACCCTTCTCTTGTTTCTGACTTCCCCATTCACTGTGTTAGCTGTGGTTTTTTTGTATTTTATAGTGGTTGTTACATTGAAGTAAGATTCTTCTGTACCTAATTTTTTTGAGTCTTTTATTATGAAGGGATGTTGAATTTTGTCAAAGGCTCTTTCTGCATCTACAGAGATGATGTGCGATATTCTTGATTTTATTTATGTGATATATTAAATTTATTGAATTGTATGTGTTGAACCATTTTGCATCTCTGAGATGAAACCCATTTGATTATAGTATATGATAATGTGTTGTTGAATTCTGTTGGCAACAATTTTATTGAGAAATTTTGCATTTATTTCATTTGTTAATTTAATTGTTGGATGGTATGTATTCCATTAGAGTACCATAGTTACCTCATATATCTATCTACCAGTAAACAATGTGTTTTCAGTTTCTTGATAATTAAAACTGCTTCAGTGAATATTCTTACATATATTTAATACATGTAAGAGCATATTCATAGAATAAATACTTAGAAGTAAAATTGTTAGATCAAAGGTCCATATGTAATTTTAAAAACATGTCCAGTCCTCCTTCTTGCTAAATTCCATATTTGTTAATTTTCCTACTTGCTAAAATTTATTTGTATCCCCTCATCAGTATTTTGAATATTTTCATAGTCATTTGATGTTAAAGCGGTGACATTTTTGAATCTCCTGACATGCACATTCCCAGTGGAAGTGAACAGTATGACCTTACACCTTTTTTTTTTAGCTTTTTTTCTGTAAATGTGTGCTTTACATGGTCTGTTAGTGCCATATTTTCTACATCTTTTGCTTTTTGTTGATGATTTAATTTTTTCAAATGCCTCTCATGCATAATGCTAAAGTGCTTCTAGTGTTCCAGTGTGCAGGAGAGTAGTGGTGTCTCAGAGAGAAAATGAGCTTCCCTCAGGCATGAGCTATGGTGCTCTTGGCTGTGAATTTATTGTTAATGAATGAACAATGTGGAACATCTAGCAAAAGGAAGAGGAAACTCAATCATGTATGTGTGAGGCTGCTTCAAACAGTGCTAAGGTAATATTTCTATATGAAGATATGTAAAGCATGGGAAAGCAGTTGAATTTGTATGTTGATGAAATGTTTGTATGTTGATGATCAATTTGGGAAAACAAAACAAAACAAAAAAACCCTGTGGACAATATTGTAAGACTCCTGAAAGTCAAGTTTCAGGCACACCAACCTGGAGCCAAGAAAATGTTAAATCCTTGTTGGCTGGCATTTTATTGTAAAGAAATACTGCATTAAATTTATTATTTATAAGAAATATATATGAAAGAAGATTTCTTTAAACAAATACACATAATATAGCGTTATTTATTGATAAGTTGTTGAAAATGTTGAGGGCAGAGGGCACCAGAAAATTGTTACTGTGTTCCCTCTTGGAAGAACAGCTCAGGGTTTGCTAATTTGATGCTCATCACAACTTTATAGAACATATCTACTACACATTATGAGACTGTATTTTCTTTTTGTACCAGGAATCACATTCAGGATCTCACGCTTGCCAGGCAGGTGCTATACCGCCGAGTGAGCCACATCCTTGGCCTGAGACTATATTTTAAATAGCTATATTTTCACCATCATTTTATATAGTCTTATGTGACTACTGATTTCTTCACTCTGAGCTTATTCAATATTTCAAACCTTTTGATGTGTGAAACCTGATAGTTGAATAATGGTATCTTGTGATTTGAATTTGCATTTCTTTTAGGATGAGTAAGGTAGAGCAGCTTTTCATGAGTTTTGAAGACATTCATATTCCCTTTCCTTATCTTCTTTTTGCTTTTTCTTTGGATATTGTTATGTTCTTACTGATTTGGAGCAGACTTTTATATATTGAGAAAATTAGCCATTTGTGTTATGAATTGTACGTATTTCCCCAAATTTGTCATTCATTTCTTAACTTTTTCCCCTATGGGGCAAAAGAATACACTATGTAGATATACACGATATGAAATCTCCTACACTAAAGAACCCTCAAAAAATAAACAAAAATGCTCTTTTATCTCTGCTGATTAAATTTCAGAGTAATAGGATGATGGAAGAACATAAGTTTTGAGTCCCAAGAATTTAGCTTGAATTCTAGTTTGTGCACTTGCTAAGTGACCGAAGCCATTCTGTGCTCCTTCCTGAGCCTCAGGTTCCCTGGCCAGACTTGGCTGAGTTCTGCAACACAAGATAATGTCTTGCTCACGACAGATTCTCAATGTTAGTTTCTCCAGTTCCTGCTTCCCTGACATCCTCTACTAGGAAATAATTTATTAAATTAACTTGCATTATACATGTACTCAAAGTAATAAAATTGTTTCTTTTCAAAAGCATTCTACAATGTATAGACGAATCTGAGTTTCTCAATCTCGCCTGAATTAATAATGATCATTACACATGAATTTGAATTGTTAGTTTTGAAGATAATGTGTCAGCACAATGTATTGCTTATGGGGGTAGTGAATATTTGTGAAAACAACGAAAAATGAATTTCTACACATTGAGTTACTTTAAGAACTGTGTGTTGGCAAAAGCCTATAAACCCAGTACATTGGGAGGCTGAGGCAGGAGGATCACAAGTTCATCCTTCTTTTCCATGATTATACTGACTGTATTTCTAGGACTTTTTGTTGTTGTTATTTGGTTATTTTGTTTACCTTTTCCAGCCAATTCCCGAGCAGTTACCAATTTAATGTTTAGAACAAAATGAGAAATAGTAACTTCAAAATGCCTTAACTTTGTACTTGAATATAATTCATTGTCACTACTCTATGGGGAGCTTTAGTAAGAGTTGAGTGCCTTTGCTTGGTTAGGAAATTTAGAATATCCTGGATCTCGCTCTGGACTTCCAGATTTTTAAAGTTCAGAGCAGATGTATGTGAAAGGAAAAACATCTGGTGACTAGAACTTGCTTCATGTGTGATGCTGTTTTCCTGCACTCCTCAGCCAAGTGTCTGCTGAGCAGGTTGGCGGGTTTGATTATTAATTAATGATGAGGGAATGAGCTGTGTATCCGAGGAGCTCAGTTTTGCTCCTTACTGCTTCTTTCTTCCCCACATTTCTGGCAATACCTTCAGAGCCTAAGACCACTGATCCCACAGTTGTGTCTCAACTCAAACACTTGTCTTCAGGCATAATTAGCTCAGAGATATAAATGGATGGCCAGGGCCAGAGGGCTTAGTATTGTGCAATGTAGTTTTATTATCAGGGATTTTTGAAATATCTGTTGGAAAAGTACACCAAGCCTTTTAAAATGCAGAATTTCAAAAGTATGTACTTACTTGAAGTTGACAGAGTTTTGTGCATATTCTTGTCTATTTAAATTTTTCATTTTATAGCATTTTACGTATTTTCAGAATTATAGGAAAGCTGCATTAATAGTGTAAGGGGCACCATGATTTCTTTCCTCAGATCTACCTGTTGTTTTCATTTTCTTCCATTTGTTTCTCTCACCCTTTACCTTCCTTTTCAGACAAACATGTCCACATGCACATATACACATGCACACACACACACACACACACACACACACACATTCAAATGTGCATTTTTTCCTGATGTCTGAACAAGAAGAAGATATCAGCCTCTTTTACTCTCAGTGCCTCAGTATGTATTTCTTAAGAACAAGGCCATTCTTCTAAATAATCACTGTACATATCAAAATCCTAATGTTTAATATTGTTACAACATTACTGTCTTAACCATTTTCACCTGTCAGCAGTTGTCTCAATAACATTTGTTCATTGTCACTCCGGTCCAGGGTAAAATCCAGGATGATACATTGCATTTAGTATCATGTGTCCTTTAAATGGGAATATTTTCTTGACTTAATGTTTTTTAATTTGACAGTTTTGAAGAGTTCAAATGAATTATTGAATGTTGCTATATCTCTTTGGTATTTCTTCATTCAATTGTGGTTGGGCATTTTTGTCAAGAATGCCACAGAAGTAGTGTTGCATATTAAAGAGTCTTATCAAAAGGCATGGTTTTGGTGAAATTATCTTTGATAGTTTGGCTAAGTTAGAGTCCATTGAGTTTTTTCACATTGAACTTATACTTTCTCACTTTATATTTAATAAGAAATTTGTGAAGAGATACTTTGATACTATAAATACCTGGTCCTTCTTCAAATCTTCACCTACTAGGTTTAGCAACCATGAGGATTTTCTCTCTTATTTTTTTTTTATTTATTAATTGGCTTTCTGCTGCAAAGAAGACCTTGACTCCTCTGTCATTTATTCATTATTTGTTTGGATCAGTGTGAACTCGGGTTCTTATTTTGTTTGGTGGTTATAATTGATTGCTCTCATTTACTTTGATAGACACAGATTTCGCCAGTGGGAGCCCTTCAAACTGACCCCTCAGTCTTTTTGATAAGTCTTTTTCATTCTTTGAGCATTTCCTTACTTTTTTGGCACATGATAGTTCAGTTGCACTTTATATTTTCTTTCTTCTCTGGAATCAACATTTCTCCACAGAATCTTTGTTCCTTTTCCTGAAGAATGATATTTAGAAACCGAGACTTGGGGTGTGTGTGTGTGTGTGCGCGTGTGTGTGTATTTTGAAAGAAACTATGCTATGAAATATTACATTTACTAAATCATTATGTACAATGTATATGAATGTACGTGTGTTTAATGTTATGTTTCAAACAGAAGAGCGTTTATTTTACATGTAATAATCATAAGTTTTGACAAGAAAGAAATACATTTTTCATTTCACAGTGGATGGCATTACACAGTTTTGAGTACTAAATCATCTTGACATTTATGAAGGAGCAAATGGAAAGTGGGGAACTGAGTGTGTTAAATATAAAGCTATCTTTAACTGTTCTATTAAAAAGCAAAGATTTATTTTCCATCTGTGATCTGAATATGCCTATTTGTGTTCTCTTTCACGCAGTGGAATTTCTGTGGAGCCACACAACGGAGAGCATGTGTGTTGGATATATGTCAGCCCAGGATGGGAAAGCCAAGGTAAGCGGGAAAAACTGGGTCATAACCTGAAAACCTTGTAGCCATCATATAAGCCTCTAAACTGGGTAAGGTGATATGGACGAGCCTTTTCACCTCCCTTGGGTGATGATTTTTAAACAAATCAGATTGAGAGAAAAAATTCTAAAGAAAATCAGCAGATCTTTTTGCTTTAGGTGATGGAACGTGGGGAAATAGAAAGAACCTTTTTTTCTTTTTCCCTTTTGCTCCTTTTTGCCCATCATGTATACCCATGCAAGAGGAAACCGAGGATTGGGAAGAGAAAATAAGAGCAAAGCTGATGAGCTGACATAGATAGGAGTGTTGGAACAGATACAGGAAACTGAAGCAAGGTAGAATTAGCCCCTGGAAAGCATCTCTGTATGTTTGATGGCAGAGGTGGCTGGCATGCTTGCAAGTACAGTCTGGCTCATGAGTCAGTGTCTTCTGGCATGAACTGGCATCATGTCTTCATGGGCAGAGGCAACAGGTTTTGGCTCTGTGTGCTGTGTGCCTGTGGCATATGTCCCTCAGTGAGTCACAACAATCACACAGATGCCCATGCCTCAATTCTGGAGTTGGTTGGCTTTCCTGGACTCATGACTGTTAGTTAAGCCTGGGAGTAAAAAACGTAATTTATGTGTTTTATTTTATATTGGCCTCATATTCTTCTTTTTCATAAAGTTTTTCAAAACAGCTGTGGCATGTGACATTTACTTGGCATTAAAGTACCTCAGTTGCAAAGTTATGAAGTTGGGCAGCCTATTTTTTTTTTTGAAGGAAATGATTTACTTTACATATTTGGAAATAAATAACAAGTAAGGAAACTTCTGGTACAAGCTGTCTGGTACAGATTGAATCATGAACAAATAAAGGATAAATGATACTTTGGTAACACTCTGTGTATGTGAGAGTAGTCCTCTAAGATTTATATTGCCTACTAATACCATAGACATCTTATTTTGTGTAAGTAAACTCTATGATGTTCATTCAGGGATGAAATTGCCTAACACAAGTACTCAGAATGTATCCCAGTCATTAAGCAATGCATGCCTATATTTCACTGTTTACTTGTCATAGATACTCATCCATATTGATATCTATATATTATCTAGTAGCTAATAGTGCCACAGGACTTCTGTGAATACAGTATATAAGTACATTTGATCAGAAAAGGATTGGCTTATATTTATAAAAATATTACTGAGATTTCCTGTTTTTTCTCACTTTTATATGATACACTATATTGTATTAGCAGACCTGTTTCGTAAGAAAATGCATTGATTGCTTTGTTTCATATTCTGTAGAAAAGGAAATTATACTCATACATTTTAAAGGTGATTTAAAGGTTTAGAGCAGCACTGATAGAATTTCTGTGATGATTTGAAACAGTTTTTATCTGTATTGTCTAGCCACATGTGGCTGTTGACTACTTGAAATATGGCTAGTATGATTCAACTGAATTTTAAGCTTAATTTAAATACCCATAAATAGCTTGTAGCTATTATATTAAACAGTGTAGGTTTAAACAATGATTGAGCAAGGGTTATTGAAATAATATTTTTAGAACTTTTTTTCTTACCAGTGAAAAAGCAGTTGTCAAATATAAAGCCACAAGAATCATTACACAAGAATGGGTCACAGCCATTTAAATTTCTCTCATACTTTATATATTGATCTCGAACCAAGGTTGCTTTTTAATCAAAGAATATGTAAGAGATAGACTTTAGTATTGAGTCCAGTCTGGTGGGGTATGGTCATATTATAAACTTTTTTGTTATAAACATGTCATAAATTCATATGGAACTTTTTTGTTATCCTGCTGGTGGCCTGTGGAAGACACTTTATCATGTAGCATGATATATGAGTAATAAAGAAAGTGGCAAGACAAGCATTGAGCCCAAGGATGTTTGGGCTCCAGTTGTATTGCTTGGTATCTGGTGCATGTGCTTTTCATATTGTTGGTAAATACTCCAGCTGGTAGTCTCCTTTGGGCCAGCATCTACAGCTGCTCTTCTCGCCTCATTTGCAAGTTATGTTTTTGACCTTATTTGTAAAGAGTTAATTCTCCCCTTATTCCCTCTTTGCATCTGTGACTACAGATGCTTTCCAGAAAAACAAAACAACAGCAACATTAATGCTTTGGCTGCTAAATTCTATTGAAACGAGGGAAGGAGGGAAGGAAGGAAGGAAGGAAGGAAGGAAGGAAGGTAGGTAGGAAGGTAGATTGATTTCTTTTGTCCTGAAGGCTGGAATATTATTTTATTGCCAGGTAGACAAAGTTATAGATGAGAAACTGAGCTTTAAAATAGGGAGTTATTAAGAAGTCTGTATCTTCTAAGATACCACTCCTGCCCCTGCACCCCCTCCCCTCACACACTTGGGGTTTCTAGCTTCTATGAGAGAACTGTATTGGGTGGCACATCTATTTAGCACAATGATTGGTTTGTTAGTATGTATGTTGCCCATAATACAGAGAGCCATGATAGCAAAATGAATAAGGAAGCATCTTTAAAACATTTTTTAATTTAAAAGCTATTTTTTAGTTTAAAAAATGATTTTGCTCTGTGAGCAGCCTTTTTTTTTTCTTTAAAGGAAATGATTTATTTTACATAGTTGGAAATACCAAATAAGGAAGCTTCTGGTACAAATAAAAGATAAATAGCATTTTGATCAGTATCACTCTGTGTATGTGAGAGTAGTCCTCTATGATTTATATTGCCTACTGATATCATAGACATTTTATTTTGTGAAAGTATACCTTATGATGTTAATTCAGGGATGAAATTGCCTAACAAAAGGACTCAGAATTTCCAAAAATTGTCTTCTTTCTCCTTGGTACTAAACTTGGACATTAAATCCACATGAACATTTGAACATTTTATGTAAGCTAACTGTATTTAATTCAAGTTAAAACTTTGAATTAAAGCTCATCTCAAAATGGATACTGCTCAGAAAAGGCTGGATAACAATATTAAAGAGACCAGAAGCCATATATAATTTGAATAGGGCTAGGTTTTTTATAAATTTCTTTTTAAAAAAATAATGTTCTTTAATCAACTTGTAAGTACAGAGTCATGTATAGTCACAATAAATTATTTGGAAAATTTTAAACAATGAAAAGAATCCTTTCTACTAATAAAACTTGTTCTTACAATTCTTTAATTTCTAATTTAATTCATTTAACTTAATTTCTAAACCCCTTCTTATAGCATAAAGTAAAGAGGTTTTTCTTTATGGAATCAAATTTAGGGCATTGGTACTAGTTGAATTTAAAAGACAAGTTGTCCATATTCTACCCAGGTAGCAGACACTTAATGAACAGGTTAGTAAAGACTCAGGGTTCATGAACTACTGTAATAATATAGATATTTAAGCTAGCATAGAGCTTATTCAAGTATAAGTGAAATTAGGTTTCTTTTATATGTAGAGGTCATTTCTATAACAATGGAAAAATACTATTAGGAAAATTCATCCTTGAGGAGAAACAGGCTATTATTTAGTTTTAGAGTATCTTTGAGAGATTTATTATCAGTTGTGGAAAAAATAATAACTAGTGAAGAAACTTCAGCAGTACCTCAGCTACATATGTGATGAAAGTCCATACCACAATGAGGGGCAGCTAAATACCATGTACCCCTGGATGTGATAGTCTGATAATGAGGATACAACAACACTTGTATAGTATTCCATTTAGATTGATATAACCTAAACCTAATCATGAGGAAACAGGGGAGCAACCAAAAATAAGAAACATGTTATAAAGACATAAAAGGGAGGCTATGTTCTTCAAAAACATCTATGCCATAAAAGGCAAAGGCTCCAGAAATGTTCCAGATTAAATAATACTGAAGTGATATGACAACTAAATGCAATAGCTATTCTTAGACTAGATTCTGTATGACAGGGGAAAATGCAGTTTGCAAAACTGGAATATGGATAGTAAAATGAGTTGCATCATTGTTAATTTACTGAAGTTAATAAGTGCATTGTGATGTATAAGGAAATAGTTATTTTTAGGAAATATACACAAGTATTTGGAGTAAAGGATATATTATGTGGATGGATGGACGAATAGGTAGCAAATTACACACAAATGGGCAGAATGTTAACAATACATGAAATCTTGGTAAAAGTTGTATGGATGGTTATTCTTTGAACTATTCTGTAATTTTAATATTTTTCAGTAAAAGATTTGAGAATACATCAGTCTTGCATATTACAGCACATTAGATGACTTCCCTGGGCTTTGCACTTGAAATGATGCAGTTCAAAAAATAATACCCACTCTTCATTAGATGAATGTAATGGATTAACCATAAAGTACTCAGTATTATATCTCTTACAATATTTTTCAAATTCTTCCTATTGTAGTAAGTCTTATTTTCTGGCTGGCTATAGATGTTAAACTTTTTCATTATTAAAGTGCTATCATTTTGGAATATTGCTCAGTTTTTTATTTTGATTTTTTAATTTACTCAAAAAATATTTGTTTGTGGCTATTCCTCTGCCTTGTGTGCCATGCCTTGTGCCATACTTTGACACATGGTTATGAAACAGGACACATGTTGCCCATGTCATTTTTTCTCTTGCTTATGCCATTGTGTTCCTTGGATTGGGCAGTGGTTTCTTATTTATCACCACAAAAGCATGAGCAACAAAAGAAAAATAAGATATCATAATCAAGAAAGTGAAAAGGTAAGGGCCTTGTATCACTTGAAAATACTCATAGAAAGTTCTTCAGTAACTCAGTATTAAGACACAAGCAGATAAGGGATTTAAATAGACATTTCTCCAAAGAAGATATGTAAATAGCAAATAAATACATGAAAAATGATCAACATCAGTAGTCATTAGGGAAATGCAAATCACAAACCACCATTAGATTCTACTTCCCACTCCAAAAGATGACTATAATAAAGTTGAACAAATTAATGGATGTGGAAAAATTGGAATCCTCATATACTACTGGCGAGAATAGAAAAAATGGTACATCCCTTTTG